ATGTCAGTATGTGGTGGGGCAAGGCGGCAGTTTTTATGTGTTAAGCCGCAGTACAATTTTATGGTTAGCATGTTTAAAAAAATAGAGTATAAGAATTCTTGTAAGAATATAAGAATAGTTGTTTTGTATTTCGATGATGGATTATGCTGTATTTTAACACCATGTATGTTTGTTTTTGTGGTGCTCTAGTGGTAAATAAATTATTTCAATTATCTATTGATGTGTTTTTTCCTCTCGTAGTACCATCACTGAGGCTGGAACCCACCCCTCACACAGTGGCGTTGATCTCAAATGGGGGGAGTCAGTCCATCTTTATAATTGCCTTTTGTGCTTTTGTTTTTCCTCCAGTACAGTCACTTCATAAATGTCATGTTTTTTAGCTCAAGGGCCAGGATGTATTCATCAAGGACTGTAGAAAGTCCTATGCAGTCTTTTTACTCTCTTGTTTATTGCTATTTGGTAATTGTTTGAGATTTAGTTTCCATCCAGCTTGACTGTCTACCAGAAAAAATGCAGAGATGTTTGGACCATGCTTTGGCTTTCTGATTCTATGTACTGCCAACCCCAGAGCCAGAAGAATTGGTCTAGACAGTATCCCCTGTAGCCCCATAACTTGAATAGTTACTCAGCTCGCCAGATATAACAAGAGTCACGTGCTCTTTGGAGGCTGGTCGTTTGGGAGCAACTTATTCTCTGAGTTTCACTCGGGCTCCTGCATCAAAACAACCCCCTTTCCCCACAAATTTCCTTGGCTATTACCTGTAAGATCAGACTTTCCAAAGGAATCAGGTTTTTTAATAAATAAAACTAATTTCGAGAGGTTGCCGAGGTTCAATTTGGCTGTCTTGCTTCCTCTAATGAAAGAACATAGTTTGCACCTATGTTGCTATCGAACCATTTCCCAGAGACAAATTTTAGTGGTTCGGTAGAGTAGGAAGTGGCTCCCTTTTAAGCAATCTCCTCTCAGATTCTTTATTCTTAGCTCATAGATAGAGGAAGTATTTGTCTTTAAAGCATGTAGTTCGTGCTTCTGAGCAGCATGACTGGTAGAGCCCATATTGAGGGTATCGGAGAGGAATGAGAGTCACCGAAGAGCTATACCAACTTTGGCAAATTGGCCAGCTGCTGCCCTGAGCCTCTCCTTCTTTAACTTTATGATTAGGATGGCCTGATCAGCCTTGAAAAGTTTTGTTTGTTTGTATATCCTTGCTGTTGCTATTAAATAAATTCACCCAGGAGAAGTACTTGGCTTGGGCTTTGGCCCATTGTAGATGATTAATAAATGGCGATCTCAATCTTTCCCAAACAGTTCTGTTTTGGGCTTCTTGGCACTCCTTTTATGGTGAACGGTTCATTCTCAGACTGTAAATGGAGGCCTCTGCTTCTCCATATGGGAACTTATTGATTGTGTCACATGCAAAGGCCCTCCATCATAAATAGATCAAGCCTTCAAGTTTTCCTGACAACATTCTGTAACTCTACTTGTTAACCTTTTGGCTACAACTTAACATGATTGACCAGAAATTGTTTCATGTAGAAGGGAAATGTTCATTATAAGGCCTTTAATTTTTTTTCGCAAATTAATGTAAAAGAGTCAAAGTTGTTAGGTGAATGGCCATCATTCCTTAAGATAATGATGGCAGCTGTGATTTGCTGAGCCCCTACTGTTTATCAGCACTGTTCTGTGATTCTTTGCTAACCTCACATCTCACTCTATGACATCAATATTCTTTATAGGATTCCATTTTGTAGGAAAGTAAGCAGACTCAAATGGCTCAATTGTTTATCAAGACCACTCAGCCTGTAAGTGGAGTGTCAACAAACTGTCTAATTTACTAGACACTAGCCAATGGTGGCTGCTGATCAATTAAAACAATGACTAATCTGGATGTAAAAATGCTGGGAGTGTAACATACACACCGAATTTTGCAAGCTTAGAATTTAAAAAAGGATGTAACATGTCTCAATAATTTCTAAATATTAATTATGCATTGAAATAATCATATTTCTGATATGTAGGATAAATAAATTTAATAATTCAATTATTATTAAATTGAATTTTACCCATTTCTTTTCACTTCTTTCATATGGCTACTAGGAAAAAAAATCAAAATATATGTGTGGCTCATGAGTCTACCTTTGGTATATTTCTATTTGTGCTGTTCTAGAATTTGAAAATATCTCTATTCAGCAACAAGGCCTAAATTAAATTATTTTAGGAATTATTTCTAAATTAAATTATTTCTGAAAGCTATATTGCCAGCCTTAGTGATTGGCATGTGACTGATATTTTCAGTCTAAACCCTATGAAACTACCATTTTGCAGACCAACATTTGTTGTCTATTGTAACTCCAAACCTAACTGTTGGAGCTAACAGGCAAACATGGCAATGAAAATACAGTATAAGACTGACAAAGATCTCAACAACATTGATGGTTACATGAGAGCAATATCCTAATAAGAGGGACAACAAAACTTACTCCTAAGGAAGTACGTTGAACTCGTTTATCAAATGTTTTCAGCTCATAGAAATCTTCATTAATATATCCATTTAATGAAGTGGTGCTTCCCCCTTTGAAGGAAAGAAGGAAGAAAGCCACTTCACTGTTTGTTTGACTCACTCACCCTGATCATAAGAAGATGCTGTTTTGTGTACAGATATCTGTTGCGCTCCTTTTCCTGTGCTAACAAACCTGAAAGGGAGTGGATCCATGGTTTGTGTTCTAGAAAATTCTATACCTGCGGTAGTAGTGAGGGATGGTTTACTTTATAAGAAAGGGGAATAAACACTGAATATAAAAAATTAGATTTGAAATCTTTGATGTCGTCATAAGCAATCATGAAGTCGGCTCCCAATCCATGGCAACCCCATGTCCAATGTGGTGAAAGGTTGCCCCTCCTTCAGGGCCATCCCCATGATTGGTTCAGATCAAACCATGTGCTTCCCAGGGGTTTCACTGGCTGATTTTGGGAATTACATTGCCTGGCGTTTCTCTATAAGGCATTACAAGGAGCTCATAAAAATGAAAAGCCTGGAAGATAAAAAATGATGTTTCATGACTTCATGACAAACCTGCCTGTGGACTTCAGTCGAGATGTGCTTGTGTTTCTGTTCGACTGTTACCTTGCAAGTCTAACAAAATCTAGATCCCTTTTTTGAATTGTTAAACGGTTTGCCTTATTTGCGAATGTTCCCGCTATCTCTAGAAT